TGCATAAGAATATTTCGTCACTGTCGGTGTATTTGTGGTTATGATTTTGAATTGAGCAGATGGGTGAATCTGTTCATTTTCCCAGCCTTATTGCGTTCTGTTAATGAATGGAATGATTTTTTTGGAATTGAAAGAATTTTCATCTCGGAATGAATGAATGATCAGTCATCATTCATAAGATTATCTGAATGCGAATGGCGTAATAGGAAAATGTGATGAATATGAAAAAACCGGACTTGAATTTTGAGAAATATTGGTGGAAAATTTTCATGGGAAATACAGTTTTAAGGCTTAGATCGATTAATGTTTGTTGTATGTGAATGGGCCAACAGTGAACAGTTACTGGAGGATTGCTTAAAAATGGAACATCTTTGTATACTGCTGATTCAGTTCGGTCTTGGCTATCTTACTGGGCAGGATGCGTCATCGCCGAATGTTTTTCTTGAAAAGGTTCGCATTGATGTATGCAATGGCATTGCAAAAATATCCACTTTTGACTGCTCAATTGGTGTATGATGATGAAACTTCTCTTTGGTTTCTTGATTACGATTCAGTTGTCGCATTATTTTCAGCGCTCCTCTCAAACTTCAGTTATGCCTTATTGCTAAGGGTTTCGCAAGAATATTTCTCATTGGAACAGTTTCATATAGACCTACTATGAATTGTTCGCAAATGTTTCAGAGTTTTATTTGTAGACCGATACGCTATTGAATGTGGATGAACGAAGCGATGAGGATGGTGCGAGAAGTGGCGCTGACGAATGCTTTGATCTGAGCGATCGTTTAGGTGGCTTAGGCAAATGCTTCATGGATTTTCTGCAATTTTTGACATCAAGACGATTCGAAACGATGAAATTGATCAACTTCATGCATCCGAACCTCGGATTTCATTCGATTCTAATGCGTGGACAGTGGCGACATCTGCATAAGGCACGTTCACTGTTCGTCTTATGAACGTTCAGTTCTTCGTCGTTTTAATTCATCTGCATTAGTGAACTCGCTTTGCATTCTGCTCATTGATTTGGTCGGATTTTTGCTTGACATCAGTTTGAGTATTGATGAGCCCTAGAAAGTCAACTATGATGAGCCTTAAATGTTAAACAGTAATGCAACGCTTGTTTAGCTTCAATCAGAATTTCCTGTAGTATATTTGAGATCTGTCAGTGGTGATTTGCTATCGGATTTGTTGTTCGCGTCGATTGTTTCCTCGTCCCATTCACTTGTTACAGTGGAAAGGGTATTTTCGTATGTCGTGTGGTTGGGCAGAGCGTTTACGACAAACGTATCATTTACTTATACAAACACCAACAATGAACAGAAGAAATTTTGCAT